GGCGACCCCCGTGAAATGGTCGTTCGACCCCAAATGGGGTCCTGACCCACAGGTTGAGAACCACTGGTGTACACACATAAATACAGAAGCACAGATGCATATTGTGAAATGGGAAACATAATTGGCTTGCACATAATGATGCACAGAGAGAAGCTGAGCCCCGATTCATGAACCTGAGAAGCAAGAGACGATCCAGTCAGAGGGGAAAGCAAATTTATGAAAAGAATGAAATGAAAAAGGAGGGGGAAAGCATACGTTTTAGCCCCCTGAGGAAAAAAAGAAAAGAAAGGGAAGCTGGCAGGGAACAGGAAAAAGTAAATTAACAAAAAAGCAACGTTTAATCCAGATCACGGCCATCGCAGTGCAGACCCTGGAGGAAAAAATAGGCCAAGCCTGCCCTTGATATATATCATCTGTATTTTTGGGTGATCGGTTTTTGAATTCTGGTATTGTGCGCTCAGTCACGGAGGCTTGGCAGAGATAGTTGCAGCTGGAAATGGCAGCTCAGTGACTGCTCCAAGGGAGGAGGCATCCAAGTGGCCCTGGAAAGCATCTGTCGTAGGCTGACCTCAGGCCAGCTCACCCTTTACATGTTTGGCACACTCATAAGGAGCTTTCAGTGGAACACTGGTCCATTCACGTTTGAAAGAGGGTTATTGAACGCAGACAAGACAGAAGTTTAGCTGGAAATGTTACGTTCGCATATATAAGCCCTTGAACTTATGACCACAACTGGGACCCAGAATTTCTGTTGCTAAGCAAGGTGGTGCTTTAAGTGAGTTGCACCCAATTCTATTACCCTTTTTGGCACAATTGTTAAGCAAATCACTGCAGTTGTTAAGTGGATCACATGGCCCTGAATCTGCCTTCTCCCAATGGCTGCTTGTCAGAAGCTGGGAAATGGTAAAGGGAACTCGCACGCTCACAGGACACTGCAACTGTCATACATACCTGCCAGTTGCCAAGTACCCAAATTTTTATCGTGTGACCATGGGGACACCACGGTTGTAAGTACGAAGAGCAACTGCAAGTTACTTTTTTCCTGCGAAGTTGTAACTTCAAACGGTCACTCAGTGCAAGGTTTTAAGTCGAGGACTACCTACACAGCCATGCGCACATTTGATTCTTCCAAGGTACTCCAAAGGTTTGGTCCTAAGAAGCTGCGCGCAGCCATTTCAAGCATTTCTGCTATTCTAGGTGAAAAAAAATAGCTTGTTTTACTTAACAAAATCATTTACTTTCTCATTAAGTGATGGATTTTTATCACATCGACGCACGTGGGTACTTTAAAAAAAAGAGAGAAAGAAGTTATTGCCAATTTATCACAAAGGGCAACATGGGGCAATCTATACGATACTTTTAGTGGGGTGAAGTACAAAAACGGGCTCTGTTCCTACTCCATAGGAGCTTTCTATGTAGAGGTGTTTTTGCAACGCTCAAGGTCCAGCCAGATGTTTATTATAATGGGACGACCCTTCATATGAACCATCCTTATTTGTCAGTTGCAGTTTTAATGCAAAGATTTTCCTAGCGATATTTTAAAGAACAGCATTGGGTTTGCTTTTGGAAGCCTCCCTCAATACTTCTATGAGTTCAGATCGCCTTAGTGAGCTACGGATGCTGGAGTTCGCCTCAAACAAGGAAGAGGTGAGACAATGCTCTCTTTTGTGTCTTTACACTAGCTTTGGGCACCAACGGTTGCTGAGCTAACAATTGCATCTCTCTGAAGCTCCATGGAAAATCAAAAAGTTTTAGCCTCACATAAAATTGCAGAACAGTAGTAGCCTACTGTATATAATTGAAACCCTCTTATAGAGGTTTCTCAACCTGGCCAATTTTAAAATGGGTGGCGTTCAACTCCCAGAATTCCCCAGCCAGCATGGCCTTCAATTCCTTTTGCATACTGGCTAGGGAATTCTGGGAGCTGGAGTTGTCAAGGTTGAGAAACACTGATTAGTCCAACCCAGTTGGTCAAAGCAAGAATCTACTATTACAGGGTTTTTCTGAACAATTCTTTCTGTTAGAGCAGGGGTCTTCAAACTCGTCCCTTTTTTGACGTGTGGACTTCAACTCCCAGAATTCCTCAGCCAGGCAAGCTGGCTGAGGAATTCTGGGAGTTGAAGTCCACACGTCAAAAAAGGGACGAGTTTGAAGACCCCTGTGTTAGAGTGTCTAAGAGAGTTAAAACAATGCTGAGGAATCCCTACACTTTTCTTGATATTCTGAGGAAATCTATTTCTTTATAATTTAGCCCTATTGTTTCTTGTCCTGTTCACTGGAACAATGAACCATTCTGCCTTGTCTTGCACATGACAAGCCTTCAGCTACTTAAAAACATGTCTCCCCACAGTCTTTTCTTCTCAGGCTAAATATACAGTAGTCAGTTTTTCCGTCCGTGCCTTTTAAAATCTTGACATGTCTCCAGTTAGTTAATGTCCTGCTTAAAAGGATGTAATAATTCTGAGTGTGGTTGGACCAATACAGAACAGAGTAGAGCATTGATCTCTTTTAATCTGGGTTCTACACTTTAGCCTAAAATCACATTTCACACATATACATGAATTTATTAATTGTATTAATAAAATTAATTAATTTGACCACTGAATAAAGCTGTGAATGCTCCAATACTGGATGCTTTTAAGAAGAGACTGGACAGTCATTTGTCTGAAATAGTATAGGATCTCCTGCCTGGACTAGATGACCTCCAAGGTCTCTTCCAACATCTTCATCATCATCATCATCATCATCATCATCACTATTAACATTGACTAATATCAATTTTATTTATTATTTTTATTATTTTGGGATTACTTTAAATAAAATTAAAGTTAATTTGACCAATATAAATTAATTACATTAATGTTATTATTTAGTTCATGGGTGTCCAACATTTTGGTCTGCCTGGGCTGCATTGAGTGAAGAAGAATTGTCTTGGGTCACATATGAAAAATGTAATAAAGTTTTACTAGCTGTCCAGGGCTACATGCAGCCAGTGGGTCACAGGTTGGACATGTCTGATTTAGTTATTAATTTTACTTAGTTATTAATTTGATTAATTAAAAATTACAATTAAAATAATTTAAAGTTAAAATTAATTATTTTTTTAACGTGTAGAACCAGGAACTAAATTAATTCCCTTTCCAACACCAGAACTTTCAGCCAGACTGCAGTACACAAACACTTTTAAGCAAAGACCTCAGGGAGCTGATTACAGATTCATGCCTGGTTTGATTCTGGCATCAGGAAATCTGATGTCTGGGGAATTGGAAGTTGCTGATGTATTTGGCTAGAAATAGCAATCAGGAGTCAGTGGCTTGCAGAGAGAAAAAATAGATTAGTGGTGGACTGCTGAGTGATTATGATGTGGCTACTGTCTGGATGAGGTCCAACTTTTCTGATAAGCTCAAAATGTCACCAATTATAAGCTTATTTGGAAGTACTTGGGAAAAGTCCCTTTGTGTGTGTGTGTGTGTGTGTGTGCGCGTGTGCGTGCACGTGTGCATGTGTTATACACACACCGAAGAAAAAGTTCATATATAATTAAAAACTACTGAAATGTTTAAAAAGTAGCAAAGAGAAAGATATGAAAAGAGAAAAAGTGAGAAACGTAAAAGTCAAAGATATACAAAAAAGGGAGGAAAGAAATATTTAGAAAAGTGACTTTTGATCTTTGCAGCAATTACAAAAAAGATTAACAATTTCTGCCCTCCCAAATTACATACTATGCTTCTGTTCTTTGCATAAATAATCCTTTTAATCAGTAAACCCTGAAATCACCAATTCATTTTTGCCTATTTTCAGCAAATAGTCCAGAAAGAGTTTCCAGTCTCTTATAAAAATATTTATTGTTCTTTCCCTAATCAAGCATCTCACGTAACCATTTCAGCAAGTTTCACAGTTCTGTATGTTTACTTTGTAGGAGGAAAATGCCATTAGTCTATAATGGCAAAGAATCTGGAATTCTTTTCCAACTAACCCATTTTAGGAAAAAGTACAAGCTTTGTGATGAAACTTCACATTTAATGAATTGAACTGCAACTTGTGAAAACTCATGCCTTTTTAAAAAATGTGTTAGTTGGAAATGGTGCTACCAGATTCTGGATTTTAGGAGTAGGTTTACTAAGAAATAAGCCCTACTATGTTCCAGCAATGTTCCTTTTGCCTAAAGGAGAACACTAACACAATATGCAGCCATAAACAAAATGATGAAGTTAGTGGCAATCATTTATCTACGTACCATCTAAGCCAGTGTGTCTCAAACTTGGCAATTATCAATTTCATACATTTCAATGAAATGTATTGATTTCAATTCCCAGGATTACCCAGACAGCCTCCTAAGAGTTTTTGAAAGATCTGGTCCATAGATTGATCTGTCAGAAGGGAATGCAAAATGTGCACTTCAGCCCAGTCTCTGTTTTGAAGGTCCAATATTAACCTCCAAATACAGAGTTATTTCTAGATCATTAAGTAATATATTCTATATCTCTCAAAATCTGAATCCGGTAATCTCGTCAAAATTCACCCAAAAAAATACTCATTCTAGATTGATGCACTTACGATAGTTTGCAGTGCATTATGATTTCTTTTATTGGACACTTTTAAAATACCCGATATTGAATTTAAAGCACCTTGTAAAACTGAAAATCTAATCAAGTATTAAAGAACTGAAACTCGCCAGGGACTAGCCTCTTGCTCAGAACTGACAGTACTTGCCCTTTCCCGCCCTCCGCATCACTTAGCCACCCAAACTCGAGAAACGCGTCTTCGGTTCAACCAATCAGAGCCACCGCTCCTTCTGCCCCCTCATCTAATTAAGAAAAGCAGAAGAGGCGGGAGTCTATATAGCCCCGCCCTCCCAGCCTCCAACCACGCCCGTTTCAGGCTGCAGTGAGCGCGCGAGGTTCTTTTCCTCTCAGCGGCGCCCGGCTGGTTGGTACAGTTGAGCCGCCCTCGTCTCCCGCTTAAACCCCTCCCCTCCACGGTGGGCTCCGCTTTGGGCTGCATCTTTCCAATTTTTTTAATTCTCGACATTTCCTCCGAGTCCCGCCTCTTCTTAGGGCCCCGCCCCTTTAGTATAAATAGTCGGCGTCTTGAAAGCGTCCCGTCAGTCGCGCTTGCGGGGCTGGTGAGGTGCGGCAAGGCGGGAGAGAGGAAGAGCGAGCGCGCGCCTCTGTTTCTCTTCCCCCCCCCCCATCATCTCAAGTGAGGGAGCCGAGCCAAGGCTGGTGAGGGGCGGCGTTCCTGTGCGGGTGGTCGGCATGGCGCTCTCGGTGCCGGTCAACGGCATGAAGGAGGTGGGCGGCGGCAGCGGCAAGGAGCCCCTCATAGAACTCTTCGTCAAGGTAAAGAGGCTCCTCATTGAGGGCATCAGCTTGTTCCGCTTTCCTGCCTTGGGGGGGGGGTCGCCCTCCTGACTCTCCCCGCGGTGGCGGGTGGGCGTTGTAGTCCAACGCCCGGGCAGTGGGTGGGTGGGTGGGTGGGATGGATGGCCCCACCCTCGGGCCCCCCTTCCCGCCCCCGATCGCCCTCGTGGTCGGGCTTGCCCGTCTGCCCGATCGAGCCCGGGAGGCGCAGCTCGGAGCTTCCTGCGAAGGGCTCGCAAGAAGTGGGGGCGCCCTTAAGGCGGGGGGCAGGGGGGGCGAGGAAAGGGTCCCGCCGCCCGCTTCCCTCCTCCGGGTCTGGGCTTTCTCCTTGCCCCGGAGGAGCCCAGAGAGCGGTTCAGGTGGGCTTCGATGACTCCTTGGAAGCCCCCTAAACCAGGGGTAGTCAACCTTGGCTCTTTTATGACTTGTGGACGTCAACTCCCAGAATTCCTGAGCCAGCTAAGCTGGCTCAGGAATTCTGGGAATTGAAGTCCACAAGTCATAAAAGAGCCAAGGTTGACTACCCCTGCCCTAAACTGTGAAGGCTTGAATGCATTTATCCACCAATTTATGTATGCGTCCTGTTCATTTCCCCGCTCATCTCATAACCGTGACCCTGGACGGCTGAACCTAAAACATAAACGAGCCATAAAATGAATGAAAAGCCAGTCTCGCTCTTAAAAGGGAAGCAACAGTGCGAGCAGGGCTGGAAATCCTGGGAGGGGTCTTGGGTGGGTGGGCGAGCAGTTGAGTCTTCCGAGAAAGACATTAGAAAGACATTCTTCGTCCCAGGAGCAGGAAGACTCTGGAACACCCTTGTTGATTTCCTTCTGGACCTTTTCCAGTCTGGGTGGGGCGTTCTGGTTGGGGATGAAGAAGAAACTTTATAGAATAGGGGTGTTGTAAGGACTCACCCCACTTTGCATCTTAAGAAGACAGAACTCTTGGAATATTTCTTCCAACAGGCATCCTTTATGAAGAGAAATTGGTTGCAGGCGTTCTAGACAGGACCTGGGGCCCAAGCCTTACGGTTCAAGGTTTTAAGGGGTCCCCAGCAGCCCCACCCCACCATCCTTCCAGCCACAATCCCAGGCGTTACATTTCCACCCCCTTTTTCCTCACTGCCGGTGGAAGGGAGACTTCAGAGAGGAGTAGATGACAGCTGATGGTCCCATTGTTATGGTTAGTCCTTTTGGTGGTATCCACATTCAGTCCCTTTTGAAGTTGTACCGAAGGAAGTGAGGGCCATAAAACCCCTTTGTTCACCCCCTTCCCCTTCATGACAGAATCCAGAGAGGGCAGAAATGGGGTTCTCCATAGTCAATAACTAGAGATGAAATATAATTGGATTCTGACATCTGTCCAATCTTGTGGATGCCACCTCCCAGAATTCCCCAGCCAGCCATGCTGAATAGCAGAGTTGGAAGTTGGTCTTCTAGTCCAACTCTCTGCTCAAGCAGGAGACCTCATACCATGTTAGACAGATGACTGTCTAGTCTCCTTAAAAGCCTCCAGTGATGGAGCACCCACAACTTCTGAAGCCCAGCTGTTCCACTGATTGATTGTTCCCACTGTCAGGAAATTTCTCCTTAGTTCTAGGTCAGTGGTTCTCAACCTTTTCAATGCCGCAACCCCCAACCGGTTGTAAGTCGAGGACTACTCAACCGGTCGTAAGTCGAGGACTACTCAACTGGTGCAGCACCGTTTGCAGAATGGGACTTTGGCGGGCTCAGCAGGGCAGAGACAGCCTGGACAATTCCTATTGGCTTTTGAAAGCCAATAGAATTAGACTCTATTCAAGAGAGTCTATTCTATTGGCTTTCAAAAGCCAATAGAATAAAAGGGAGTAGCACAGCTAAGGAAAAGGGGGGAAAAAATGGCGGACTGCGTTGTTTGGCGACCCCCGTGAAATGGTCGTTCGACCCCAAATGGGGTCCCGACCCACAGGTTGAGAACCACTGTTCTAGGTTAGATCTCTCTTTGATTAGTTTCCATTTGTCTTCTTGCCTTCTGAAAATAGATTGACCCCCTCTTCTTTATGGCAGCCCTTCAAATATTGGAACACTATTTATTATTAGAAGTAATAAAAATGGGTGATTATTAGAATATATACATTAAATAGAGTAAGAATGTATTTTTTTGAATAATAAGTTTATTTGTATGAAAATTACTATGTAATGGTATGAAGAATACTGAAGAGGTGTTTTAGATCGGGATTGAACTAATAATTAATTGAATGTTATTTTAATAAGATGATGTGTCTGTTTGGTAATATGGATGTTATTAGGTTCGATAATTAATTGGATGAAATCAGAACCTTGTCTAATGGACTTAAATGATTTAAGGCTGATATTACTTTGTCAGTTTAAAGAAATTGATTGATTGATGGATTAGATATGTATAGGATAGATCAATAGTTTAGTTTAATTGGGAGATATTAGTGGAGAGATAAACAAGATTTATGATAAAATTAAGGAATCAGGATATATTTGGAAAGGATACCTGAACTGATAATCTGGTTATTTAAAGTTAAAATTGATTATGGTATTGTAATTGCATAAAGCTATAAAACAGGTTTAGGGTTAATAGAAATTTAAGTTAGAAATAGACTATTTTAAATATATTAAGCTATTTGAGGGAAATAGGGAATATTTGATGTATTGATTGAGTTATTTATATATGTTTTGTCTTTGGATTTTTGATCACCCCAGCACCACGGTGTGTCTTGAGCACTTTGTCTTAAGAATTAAAAAACCAATAAAATTTGTTTTTTAAATATTGGAACAGTACTATCATGTCTCTTCTTGGTCTACTCTAGACCAGGGGTAGGCAACCTTGGCTCTTTTATGACTGGTGGACTTCAACTCCCAGAATTCCTGAGCCAGCCATGCTGAGGGGAAAGGGAGAGTTTCTCAGCTGAGCCATGCTGGCTCAGGAATTCTGGGAGTTGAAGTCCACGAGTCATAAAAGAGCCAAGGTTGCCTACCCCTGGTCTAGATCTTAAAGTTGCTAAGATTGGATACCCCTGATCTAAAACTTAGCCTGGCTTTTTGATAGCCCTGAGGTTTCCTGGAGGTTTGAGCTATCATTCTTACAGCTATAATTGAACTGACTAGTCCTGTGTGTGTACTGTCAAATGGAAATGCATCTAAGTTTATGCAGTTTTTAACTTTGACTTTTTGTTTCACTAGTCAATATGCCTAATCCTACACAGTGGTATTAGTTCAGGAGCGTTCTCAGTAGTGGCTTTGGATCCTACGAGACTTCCATGGCAGGTTTGATAAAGGGGGTGAAGCATTTGGAGCTTAGAAAAAGGCAAAGGTGATAGATTAGGCAGTATTCCTTGTTCTGTAAAATGGAAAGTTATTGGAGTTGAGACAATTTTTCTGCCCTTCAGCATCTATAGATCTTGCCTACCCCCGATAGATTTATAGTTGCTTTTCCAAGTATTTAACTTGTCTCAGCTTTGTCATGAGAATGTGAGTTGTTGTTTTTTTCCCAATTATATATTCATTAGGAGGCTATTTCTATGAGCTATGTTGATTCATTGAGATTTAGCTTAAACATTTCCTATTTTATTTCCTCCCCTCATCTCCAATTTTGAAGATATATATATATATTGCTGATTAATGTTGGCATGATTTTTTTTGTGACATATAAGTTCTATTTTTACCTGGAATATTTTTTATCGCGCATTTATGCTTCTAGTCCTTAATAAAGCAGAAGTTACATCAAGGAATATATAACACCGCTGTTTGGGGAATCATATGCTTGTATTGCCATAGCCTAACCTTTGCCTCGTTTGATCATAACCATTCTTTAGTTTTTATATAAGTTCAGCATGGCCTCGCCTTCAGGAACAAGCTCTGTTCTCTAGTGCTGTGTTAATAAAATCTTCCTCTTTGCATTTTTCCATGCATCCATAATTCTTTGCCGTAGCACATGGATACACCCATTCCAGCCCCCCCCCCTTCGCTCTGGTATGACGCAGGCTCAGTTGAGAGCAGAAATCCTGTGCTGGAAATAAAGGGTGGGGACCTGATGGAGTCTGCATGAAGTCATGTTCTCCAGAAGTCATTACTTCATGCAGTCCATGAATAGTCCATTACTCATTACTTGCTCTTGGAAGTAGTATCAGAAGACTTGGCTTGAGTTCCACTTCTGCAAAAAATGGGCTTTGGGGAATTATAAGGAGCCATAATAAAAACAAATCTGTATTACATATTTTATTAAACGTATGTGTATATTTATGTCCGGCATGCGGTGTACACAGGCATGTGTTCCATCCCTGTTCTCATCGCTTGCTTTGCCGGTTATGATGCAACTTTTTGCTGATGTGAATTGCATATATTAAAGATTTTTTTCTTTCAAGCGGGGGAGTGACTGTTGAGCCCAAAATTTCCACTGCTAAGCAAGACAGCGAGTTTTGTCACCTTTTACGACATTTCTTGCCACGGAAAAATTATAATGTTACTTTTTTCAGTGCCATTTTAGCTTCAAATGGTCTATAAAGACAGGTAGTCCTTGACTTAAAACCATTTGTTTAGTGACCATAAACAAGTGGTTGCATGTTATTTATGTTAGGGCATGGATGTCCAATCTTTTGGCTTGCCTGGGCCGCAGTGAGTGAAGAGGAATTATCTTGGGCCGCATATAAAATATATAGTTAATGGATATAAATCACATAATGTTAAAAGTTTACCATCTTGTGCAGCTGTATTATTAACTATCCAGAGTCGTGTGCAGCCCATTGGCCATGGGTTGAACACGCCTGTATTAGGTGGTCATTTCTAATTGCTGAAGAAAATGATAAATATTATAATGTTCGTAAGATGTTGGTTTATCTGAAGTTATGCCACCTAACCTGGGCTACTTTGTGTAGAGACTTTGATTTTGAGTCTTTGAGGAAAATGATTATTATATTTAACTGAAAGGAAGATTGGATAGGGAAAAATAGTTTCCCTTTATTAATGTGCATC